AATTGCCAGGATGTACAGAACAACTCAGCATCTCCCTACTACTCCAGGATGAAAACCCAGATGTTACATACTCAGTTGCTAGATTTTGCGCTGCCATGATGGATATCCGCAGAAGGATGGTTTGTGCTACAAACCAGTCATAAATTGAAGGCCCATATTGCAAGACCGTTATTCCCCTAAGCTCCACCCCTTATAGTTGTTTTAATTGCTTGTCTTTTAGTCCTTATCTGTTTTAATTATCAGTTTTTATTCATCAATTATCTTTGTTTAATCTCGTATTCTATTCACATGTTTTATCCTATGTTTGTTTTTTGTGTGTTCTTATTTGCTTTAACAATAACCTGTTTAACTCCTAACTGCTATTTTATCCATATGTTTCTCTTATGCTGGTCTGTGACTATAATAAAGTTTATTCATACATACTTTTAGATTTTTGCTTACAGATTTTATTAAAGCTACTAGCACTAGTAACTTTTAAAAAAAAGTTTACAATGGTTGAAAATGAATATGAATACATAATACGGAGAGTACATTGGTTGTTTATTTGTTATTACAGTTTTATCCCATACCTTTCCTCCAAGAAGCTCAGTGTTACAAACAACATTCTCTCCTGACGAAGGAATGGTTCGGTCAATAGAGCATGAGTCTCTTAAGCCCCATGTTGGCCAAAAGATTTCTGCTCTACAGGGGGTTGGAATTGATGACCCCTGTGGTCATTTCCCGTTCCACAGTTCTCTGATTCTATGGGATTTGCTTCCATGTGAAATGAACAGAGAAGCCTTTCTTTCTAGGAGAGCTCCATTTCTCCATGGAGCCACTGTACTCATTAGTAATGTTTACTAATGTGATGATGACACAACCTTTGACACCTGAGACGCCTTATTTTATCCTCAACAGTGTGAGGCAGATTAGACTGAGAGAGAGAAGAGGCTGTCTCTAGGGCATGTAGAAGTGCCTCTAAAAGTCCCTCAATGAAGACACAATTGGTCCATGTAATCAGCCTATGGGGACACAAGATTACAAGCATTGTTTGCAGAACACAGTCTTCTGCATATATATATCTATGACAATTTCAAATGTTTTTGCTCTCCTTACACAAATACAGCAACTTACAGCCATGAAGTCTTTTCAGGCTTGCCTGTGCCCTCCAATTACAGCTATATTTGGGTCATTCTTACTACACAGTACATCTCCCCTCCACACACCCACACATGTTCCTGCTGAGGTAGTGCTTTACCACATATCTTGTTCTTGTTGCTGAGAGAACATTTACGTGTGTGTGTGTGTGTGTGTGTGTGTGTATGTAAGTAACTTCATGTATTCAAGCAGGAATTGCATTCTATAATGAGTGCTGGAGAGATAGTAAATGACTACAACTGGCCGCCCATCAAGTCACAATGCAGTCTTTCACTCAGTTCCCCATACCCCATTCAAATGTCCCATCAGAGCAAGTTGTGTGAATGTTCCTATCATACGCTAGATTTCACTCCTTTTCTAAACTGGCCTTATAAAAGTGAGAAGCGCTTGCCACCAAATGAGCATTGGGCCTGGACAAAAGTCACCGTTACTGTATCATCTGGCTTCTTGTGTAGAAGGTAGAATTCAAAGAATATGGAGAAAGCAAAGGAGGAGAACCTGCATTCCTTATTTAGAGTAGTGGCTTACTAATGATGCTCCAGGGAACCCTGGGTTTCATTTAATCCAGGAATAGCTAACTTATGGCCATCCAGTTGTTGTTGGACTATAGCTCCTATCATCACTGACCGCTGTCAGGGGCTGATAGAAGTTTCAGCCCAATGTCTGGAGGGCATTAAACTCTGGTTTAAACCTTAGCAGAGTGGACTTGTTTTCTGGAAACAATCAACACAGAAATGAGCACTAAACTTCCACTAGATTCCACTAGATTTCCAGAAGTGTAAATTATCAGGCAAGGAGACATCTGGAAAATGGAATAAAGTGCTGTCTGAATACTGCCTAAGTTTCTTAGTCTTCTGTGGACCTTTGCTAGCTCAACAGCTCCATTTTGAGCATGTGAAGCTCCAGCTCCAGAAGACTTTCTGGCTCACAATGTTACAGCTTTAATCCCTGCTTCAGTTACCATGGATCGTTGTATAAGAACATAAGAAAAGTCTTGCTGCTTCAGGCCAAAGGTCATTTCCCTCCAGCATCCTGTTCTCACAGTGTCTAACCAGGCCCATGAGCAGGACATGAGCATTATTGTGTTCTCCCCACTTCTGACTCCCAGCAACTGAGATTCAGAGGAATAATGCCTCTGAACACCACCATGGTACATCACTGGAGGGCTTGGAATGGACAACTCACTTCAAACCCACTATAAATCAGACCTAGACTCCCATAATACCTCCTGGCTCATGTTGGGCTTGATATTGCGCCATTAAAATGAACCCTTGTTATGGCTATGCAGAGATGATGTGACAACAGAGGCCCAATCAAAGTCAAGAGAAAACGAAAACGCTAGTTTCTGAGCTTTCAGGTGCCAATGAATGTCTGTCAACAAAGGGAGCTTTGCTCTAGGTAATCCATAGCTTTTTACAAGAGCTCTCAGGAAAGGCCCAGAAAAACTGAGCCAATTATGACTTGGAGAGCTCATCCAATGCTTCACAGCATCTTCCTCAACTCACAGGGGTTCCTTCAGCCAATGTGGATAATGCCCTGAAGCAAGAAAGATGAAACAAACTAGTGAAAAGGAATGTTATTAAGGAGGAAAATGGGTTTGGTAATTGTTATTATGGAAGTATACGTTTTAAAACCATGGGAGAAAGGCCTAATGCTCCACTAATTTATCACAATTCAATGTTGTGGTCTCACAGGGAAAATGAAATATTTTTACCCAGTGAATGGTGATGTAACTCACCATTCAGGATGTACTGGAAGGGGCTAAATTGGGTTAGCAGAGTAAATAAATAACCACAATGAATGATGAAAAAGGAATAATAAAGTGCTATAGGGTTCCATTACACTGTTCAGACAGACATCTTGTCATTTAGTGTATGAGATAAGGCTAGTATTATCTATCAGGCTGTCTGGAAATACAGTAATATGCTAAGAAACAAAGTGATATTCAATTGAGTTATAATGGTTAAAAATAGGCTGCTGCAAATGTCCAAAACAGAGAGCCTTTGTTCCATCTGGGAAAGGCTGGTGCAGTGCCAGCTCCAAAGTCTGAGTGGCCTTCAGGTAAGCACTTATCCTAGGAGAAGTGGAGTGTGCAACTGAAGAACTATCTCCTGCTGCCTTTGGATCTTTGTCCCATGCAAAGCCAGAGAGGTGGTGGTGTTATGGCAAGGAAAAGCTGTCTGTTGGGCTGGCCCTACTTTAGGCAGAGTGAGCTAGCTGGCTCAGATAACAGTGGGAGGGCAAGGAGTGGTGATGAGTAGATGGAGGACAGTGATGCATCCAGCTCTGCACCACCTAAACTAAACAAATGTTCTCAGGTGTGGAGTACAAGAATTTTTGTAGTAAGATACAACCACCAGTCTGGTTGTCTTCAGCAGGAAGAGTTTGAGGGGGCACCATCTCTCCTTTGCCACTGGTAACAACATGCCTTGGGCTAGCTGTCCTGCTGGGGAGTACTGTGACTGAGATTGCAGAACTTGCCTACTTCCTCTTGCAACAGCTACGTCCCTATCCTGCAGCAGCCAAGTCCCTATCTTTAATGTTTGCCTTTGTGCTTACATTCTGGTTATGGCCTGCATTTGCCACAGTATTTCGTCTAAAGCCCTCTTGGTGTGCTTCTGCCAAACACGTTCCCCAGGCTTTGTGTGGTGTACTCCCCTCTCCTACCAACACTCCTCCATTAAGGAAGCTTAAACCACAACTAGAGGTGAGGGTGGGGATTTGTGCTCTCAGAGCTGCAATGACCAGAACCCTTAACAACCAACCTTAACAACAAGTTCCCAGGATTATTCCACCTTAATAATACTTTAAATGCATGGCTTCAAAATGGCCAGAGGTTATGGGAGTTATAAACCAGCAACCACCAGAAAGCCACAGGTTAGCCACACCTGCAATAAGATATACATTTATTTTCCATTATTCCATGAATTAATAGAATCCTCCTGGCATTTCCATTCAAATGGAGGTGGGCTTGGAATTATGGGCATTTATTGTACATTCTTGTAGACTGGTTTTTAGAAAGCTGAAATGAAGTTCAAAAAAACACACTATAGTGCCTTCATGTAGAAGAGCTCAAGGGAAACATTGATTTCCTGAATATTAGAGCTGCATGTTATTAAAGTGTCATACATTTGTACTATTCTTACACATCGGGGGGAGACAGAAGAGGCTGGCATTTATCAGGTGGCCTACATAAGGCAACTATGGATTAGTTCATGGGGAAAATGACCTACTTCAGTCCTCAAAGAGAAACCCTCAAACTGACAAGTGGAAAGAATGTTACCTTGTGGCTAACTTTTTGACAGAATGGAAGATGCATAGGTAGATCAACATCCCTGTTGCTGCTGCAAGTATGGAATCCACTTTTCCCCCTTTGGATATGAAGGTGCCTTAAAGTAGCATGGTCTAAGAGTTTATGCCACAAGGTCAACTCAGCCATGGTGTAGCAAAAATAAAAATAAAATACCATTTAAATAAGAAGATAAGAAGAAGTTCCCAGTCCCCTCTTAAGCTACTGCCGCAATCCAACACAGCTTTTTTTCGCTATAGAAAAAGAACCACAGGTGGCCTTACTAGGAAGTAGCATTTGGCAGCTGTTTGAGAGGGACTGACTAGGGCCACATTCACACCATATATTTATAGCACTATGGTGCTATAACTTAAAACAGTCATGGCTTTCTCCCCAAAGAATTCTGGGAGCTGTAGTCTGTTAAGAGTGCTGAGTGTTGTTAGGAGGCCTCTATTACCTTCCCAGAGATACAATTCCAACAATGGTTTAACAGTTAATCCTGCTTCACAAGGAACTCTGGGAATTGTAGCCATTTGAAGTGGTATCATATTGCTTAAATGTTTGGTGTGAATGTGGCCTATAGCTCAGTGGTAGAGCATTCGTTTTGCATTCAGAAGATCCCAGGTTCAATCCTGGGCAGCTCCAGTTAAAAGGACCAAGCATCATCGAAGACTAATAGCCTCTGCCTGCGACCCAAGAGTGTTGCTGGCAGTCAAAGTAAACAAAACTGAGCCATATGGACAAATAATCTGGCCTTGTATAGATTCCTATATTCTTCCTAGGTGGCAAATTCTAATTAATGATATTGGAGTCAGGAGAAATGGATCTAACACAATCCACCAGATGATCTTGTGGAAATTGCGCTGAGTTCAATGGGTCCTGTACCTCAGACCTTTCCAATGGAAAATAAACAGTGTTCATCACTGGGAGCACCATTTTGATTTTCTGATGCCTTGAGCCAGAACGGAGAACTGTAAAGACTTCTAGGTTTGGTATCTAATCACCCAAGCCAAGAATTATGGAATGGGATCACTATTGGTGACCTAGAATTCCTGGTTTACCTCTGGGGAGAGTGCCTAGAAGCTTGTTAGTTTCCAATATAGCCTAATGGTACCACCAGCAGCCAGACTCCTCCTCATCTCTTAGTTTAATCCAGGCTGTCGTATCCCTGTTAGCAGCTGGTTGGAAAGGAAATGTCATCTTCCGTTTTCTCACATTATGGGTTTTCCTTTTACCCTTCGCATCACAAATATACAGCAGTGGGAACCAAGGATGGACAATAAACTAGATGAAACTCATTTCCCCTGGGTATACATACGCCTGCACACACAGAGAGTGCACTGTAAACTCTGTCATACGGTGGCTTGTTGCTGCCATAGAAGAGACTGCCAGCATCTGCTCCTAATCAGAAGAATTTAATTCAGTCTCTGCATGGGCAGCTTTCCTTATGCCATCACATTATTCCTATGAATGGAAAGTGAATCTTTCTTATTTTTTCATCCCTGGTCAGAAGCTGATGTGGCGAGAGAGCAGGTCCCTTCTGATTAGGAGAAGCACGCACCTTGGTAGAGGACTGAATGTTAAGCAGGGCCTCTCTGCAGCTCAGATATTGTCGGTGTTTTGATCTAGTCATTTGTAGTTATTATGAGCAACCATTCAGGGATGGACCAGCTGGGGATGACACAGACAACTCTGCAACTTCTCTGCTGAGACTTGTAATCATTACCCACTGAAGCTTAAGGATTTACCCATCCTGTTTTGCCTTCTTGCTGGAAAACATGACAAGAGGCATGGGGCAGGGGGGAAACACTGAGATACTTTTTGTGCTAAACTCAACAAAACCCAGGCAGCCTAAATTAACAATTTGTTCAGCCATCGTTAGGGATGCATGGATCTGTCAGTTTCAGTTTCTCATTTTTCCATGTTAGTTTGCAAGTTTTTTTTAAAGAAATCCTCCTGAAAATTATTCAGCATTTCAGTGAAAATCTCTTCTAATATACACATTTTTGCAAGCACCTCCCCCTAGCATAACATATTTTTACAAGCAATTTGCCATAATACAATACTTTGTTGTATGCTAGTTTCACTGACAAGTGCATATATGAAGTATGTGACGTTTTGTGTACATTACTTGGCTGGAGAACTGCACTGCAAAATTGAGAAAAGAGCTAACTTTGAAGGCTGTTTGAGTTTTGGTACTTGTATTGTTCTGGAAAGTGTGGATTAGGTTCATTGCCTCTAAATGAAAACTGAACTGAATTTCTCTTTGATCTATAACCACTGTAGGTCATTGTGAATAAGAATGTATTGGAATAAAAGACTATGGTGCTCTGTCCCCCTCCCCCCTTGGGGAACAAAAATCACCTCTGCAGGAATGAGAGGGGATGCTATCATAGGAGCAGAAGCTTTACTGTAAAAGACAAATGTTTTTCTTCTTCTGGCAAAGAAGTACTTTAGAGAACCCATTAATGCTCACACTTAGAGAGCTAATTGCATGCTAGGTTACATGGGTGATCTCTAAAAGCAGGAAGATGACTCCAGAGCACATTCACGGTAGTGGCTTACTGCTGGAACAACTGACAGATGTGTCCCTTACGACTATTGGATTCACATTAAATCTGCCACGGTTTAGTGTTACACTTATGCTAGATAACCTGGCAGTGGTTTACAATTGCTTCTTCAGGGTTGCTTCAATGATAAAAGAAGGATGGCCCTGCAGTACATTGCAACTAGCACAGTCCTCCTAAGCAGAAAGTGTTTAACAAAATGCTCATTTCAAAGATGAGTCCCATACTCATCTGCAAACAAAAAGACGAAGTGACTAAGTGTATGTCATTACATAAATGTAACCCATCTGCACTATAACTTACAGCAGCATCATACCATTTTAACTAGTTCTGGCTCCCCCACCCCCCACCCACAAAGAATCCTTGGAGCTGTATTTTGTTTAGGGTTACTGCGAGTTGTCAAAAGACCCCTATTCCCTTTACAAAGCTACAATTTTCAGAGTACCCTGGGAAGAGGGATTGATTGTTAAACTACACCTTTCATTAGCTCCCATTTACATGAGAGTTACGTTCCAAGGCACCACACACCTTGGTGAAATCGTGTATAATTGAAACCCATTGAAAAAGCCTGCAAACACCCTGTTCTGCTTCACCCCGTTCCACCACCCCATTCCCGTTCTGCTCTTTTAGTGACATTTCAGTGACATCTTTATGATGTTTCCAGGTAACTTCTGGGTTCATTGTCATTGCACACATACTAAATGTATGTAAATGGGGGGGGGGGGCTTTCTTGATTACAAATGTAACTCCACTGACTTTTTCTTCTTCTTTTTTTGGAGAAGTGTGAATTTCAATGGATAGCTGCATTTCAATTCATGTATTATAAATTGGTAAGTGTGAAATAAGAAATAAAAAGGGAACCAAACCAAATTTCTTCCCATCCCCATTCCCCCCCCCCACACATTCCTGTCCTTGTTTGCATACATGTATGTCCTGTAAAAATGATTCATGATAGCAGAATTATGAAAAAGAATCAAAATTAATCTGCATAATTTATTCTAACTGCATAATGTATACATTTCTCTTTGGAACTTAATCTGAGGGATGTGGAAATAGTTCAGCTATAATATAAGGTTCGGCTAAATATGTTGTTTGTGTTCTGAGTGGTGCATGTCTGATTAATTCTAGGAATGATCACTGATCTGAAGTATCCCTCATATGCATGCTAACTGCCCACAAATAACATTTATTTGCAGGTCTCCTCCGATGAACACCATCAGGGCATCATGCATTTTCAAAAGCACAGGGTTCCTTCCATTTCCACACGGTGCTGTGAGAGGGATTAGTCTGACAGTTGCAAAATGAGCAGACGTTACTTCAAGCAGTTTGCAATGAAATTTAAACCCTGGGGGGGGGGGGGGAGAAGTGAACATTGTATTGTGGAAGGGAGGAGGGAACCAAATGAGCACCGACCCCCTCATGCTACCTATGAATGTGTACAAAGGAGGCCTGGCGCTTGATGAAGCACACTGCAAGGTGGATTGTAAAGTCGGGACTGTTTGATCAGCAATCACTCGTTCTGTAGTTGGCAGCTATTTAATGCTTGTAGTTTGAATGTGCTCAGTATGAGTTCAGGTTCACTCTGAACATGTTGCAGAACTGCTTCTTGCAACAGCCAACCTTTCACCCTTTTGCTTCCCCCTTGAGGAAGAGGGAAATTCTAAAGGCAACATCTAATGGTCCAGCAACTCCTCAGCGGGTGCTGACAAAAAATCGCTGCTTAGAAATCAGCGGTGCAGTTCTGCTCGCTCCATGATAAAATCAAAAGACATGCAGAATAAATAAAAGGAGGCAGGAAAGAGGATGGAGGACAGAGAGGAGTACAAGGAAGAATGTCTTGCCACTCATGGCACTAACCAGGGAATGAGAAATGAATGCTCAGTGCTTTGTTCCATTGCTCATGATTCCTGCATTTCAGTTATGCATTTCACTGTGCATTTACCACAGCTATGGAAATGTTGTCTCATCTGTTTTTACAGAAGTGCTCGTTTTGGTTAGCTTAAAATATCAGAAAAAAGGCACTTGAAGTTAGCTGAATAGTAGAAGTTAAAATAAACCCAGTTTTAAGCAGCATTATTAAATAGGTATAACGAAGAAGAAGAAGAAGAAGAAGAAGAAGAAGAAGAAGAAGAAGAAGAAGAAGAAGAGGAGGAGGAGGAGTTCTAAGTAGTGGTCTCTTATTGGATAAATTATTGAAATTATAGAATGAAAATTGAAATGTGTGTGAGAAGGGCTGAGCAAGTGAAGCCTGGAATGTGAAGATTGTGTTTGCAAGAGAATCATGAGAGAAGGATGGAGCAACACGTACACATATTGCATTAACACACGAGCTATTGCTATAACAGTTGAGGACAAAGGAAGGAGGGAAAGATAAGAAAGTTGCTATGCCACGTGATTAAACCTGTAGAAGCTAGTAGAAGAAGTATACGCTGCTTCCATTTCCTTGTAAGTGTATTAATGCTTGTGCTTTTTTCATATTTGGTGTGCTACCCCCTTTACTACTTGCTGGTTGAGGTTTTGTCACACCAGCTTTGCAGCACCTAAATAAATGTCCTGTTTGACTGACAATTAGTGTCTGGATTCTATTGGTGATTCCAGGCAGCCCAGGGTGCTGAACTTGAATCCCAATATTTCCCCAACATTCTGAATGCACATCTATATAAGAATGCCTTGCTTGCATAGTTTCTAGAAATCATATTTCTTGGTAAGCAAATAATCCCCTACAGGTGTGAAAATGGCAAATAGAGAAGTTCCAATTATGACACCATTGAGCACAAAGGACACTTGAATTTCATTCCATTTCATTCATTCCTGGGCCACAGCATAGAAGACCCTGCTACTTATTGCCTGAAAGAGCCCAGCTAAAGAAAATCCACAGATATCCTTATTTGTGAATCTAAATAAGAAATTAGTTATTAAGTAGCATTAGTAGTGGCTGCTTGGGGTGTATTGGGTATTAGTGTAGGAATAGTACCCTTGGTGGTGGGCACATAATGCTCCTTTTGGGGTAGTTTGTTCATTTTTGGGCATCCCCCTGCACTCAGGTCTTACCTGTGGCTTCTAGAAGCTGTCAGCATG